TGGAATAGGGACCAATATTGATAAACAAAAAGCATTTGAATTATATCAAAAAGCTGCAAATTTAGAAAATGCACGTGGAATAACTAATTTAGGAACTTGTTATGAATATGGAATAGGGACCAATATTGATAAACGAAAAGCATTTGAATTATATCAAAAAGCTGCAAATTTAGAAAATATACGTGGAATAATTAATTTGGGAACTTGTTATTATCATGGAATTGGAACCAATATTGATAAACAAAAGGCATTTGAACTATATAAAAAGGCTGCAAATTTAGGAAATCGTGTAGCTCAATATAATCTTGCTATTATGTATGAATATGAAGATGGAATTAAAAAGGACATAAATCAAGCAATTTATTGGTATACAAAATCTGCTGAACAAGGATATCAAAAAGCTCAAAATCAATTAAATAAATTAATCAATAAAAAGGATTTATTATAATAAAAATTTACATTGTGTATTATATATTTTCTATAAATGTAGAATATTCAGATAATATATAACCTTACCAATTATTAATTTAGCAGATTCATTGAAGAAATAATGGCATATACATTAAATATATGATTTAAAACTTTATTTGTAATATTATGTTAAATAAAATGTAATTAATAGGTTTAAAATAATTAGCATTCTAATTTTACTGCATAAGAAAATATTTTTATTGAAATTTGTAATCTATGCATTCTGCAAGATTTCTAAAACAAATAAATTCCTTATTCCTTTTAATTTATAAAGTTCCTGAATGAATTATTAAAGTAACTGGAAAATAACAGCTCAGTCAAAATTAATTACCTGTTAAAATGAAACTAATTATCTGATAAGAGATATGATTTACACTAAGGAGTACTAGTAATTTTAGTAATAAAATAGTTATTGATTATAAACTATTACTTTTTTATAATGAACTTTTTAGCATGACGAAAGAATTAATTTATTCTACATATACAGCCCTGTAAAAAAAGTCAATCCATTTTTTATATTCCATATTTTTTCGTAAAAGGCTCATATTTCCGGAATTAATAACCTTATTTACGGAATTTATCGAATTATTTACATTTTCCATGAATGAATCCGCGAAAGGCTCATTTTTACAAAGTTTTTACAGAATAACGGATAAAATTTTTTATAGGGCAGGTACAGTCACATTAACTGGATTATTTAATTAATTTAATTTTAGTAGAAATAAATACATAACTGATATATAACCATTATAAGATGTTTTGATACTTCTAAATACAAATTTGAATATTATGATTTATAAATCTCCATAGCAGGAATTTGTATAATCTATTAATTATTAATGAAAATAATTGACTTTGTCTTACGCTTGTATTTGGTGATCTAACCTGAGAAATATCATTATTAGTTTAGTTTATTTATTTATTTATTTAAGATTTTATTTGAATAAGGTGAAGAGAACTTATATAAAATGTTTACATAACATTCAACCACATCAAAATTCTAAATTTAAAAATGCGTCTCCTGTAATACCACACCTTTGTTATTCTCCCTATCCCTGAACAAAGTTAATCGACCCTCTCCTTTAATCAATACTTGTTAAACTAACTGAACCTAAAATAAGTTAACATCGCAAAAAAATAAAAATAAAAATTGTAAAATTGTAATGTCGTGGTACAACTTACGACTACAGCAAAAACCACATACTAGAAAACTATCCTAAAAACTATTCTAAATATTTACCCTTGTTTTAGCCGATAATACTATTACTTCTCTAATGAAATCTTATTAACCTTTTGTGATCTCCCCCGGTTTCTCTATACTTACTCTTTTTGTCTTGTCATCTTTAGCAAAACGTGTCGCCATCTTCCTATTGTTAGCGTCAAATTCCTCTACCACTTCTTTTATCGGAATTATGTCCAAATTATAAGGTTAAAAAGTGGGAATAAATTTTTTATCCACTTCACAATCCTACTTTAATTGCTTCGTTAACAAATTCTAAAAATTTCTGTCGTATTGTCTCGAATATTCCATTTTCTTAAACAAATCGCTTCAGTATTAGTTCATATAATCAACCATATCATCCTCTGTTAGAGAACCCAAGGAGTCCCTTTTATCGAGGAAGTCTAATAATCGGTCTGTTACTTATCTCATCCTCATCATCATCTGATATTTCAGACATCTCGAGGTCACGTGATTGATGGCATTTAAATTTAGTATCTCTCTGGCTGTTAATTCTTAATTGTATTACTTGAATAAATTTATCAATTATTTCGTTCCCACTGGTTCGATTTCCTCTAAAATTTCCATTCTGTATGATTTAAGCCCTTGAAATTTTTAATTTAAAAAAAAATTAGGATAGTAAATTTTACGCCAATAAATATAAAAAAAGGACGGAAAAATTACAGCCTGAAATACTTATAAATGAATTTTGTCATTCTGAAATTTGCATCTTGAATTCCCGGAAGATAAACTCCGAAATATTATAATAGTTACCATACACAAAACTTTAATTTTAGTTAGGTTCAATTTTATAATGGAACTCAATTTACGAAAAGTGAACATATTGAACTAGATTATAAAAATGCAAATAAAATCCCAAACTAAAAATCACCTCAAAAGAAATGAAAAGTATAGATTTCTAGTATTACTTTAAAGTTTAAATAATTTATCAAATATTAATGGGATTTCTTAAGTGAGGTAAGCAGATATGATACGGTACATCAGTTGTACAATTATTTACTATTTTTATCGCTGTGTAACATTTACTGTATCTCGTGCCTTAAAGAATACTGGAAAACGAGAACAAAAAAAAACATAAATAAACTTTGTAAAAAATATTTTGCGTTTGTTTTTTTTAAAAAAAAAAATTTAAAAAAAGAGGTCAATTATGGTGTGTATAAAAAAAAAATCTTTGGGATCGTGAATTGAATTCTTTTAAAACTATAACGAATTAAATAAAATTATATGTAGGCGCGAAATTAATAAGAAAGCTTGCTTCTTTTTAGTTTCAGTTATGTTCATTTTTAAAAATTCCATTTATTTTTTATATTAGTTATCCATTTATTGTGTAATTATGAAAATAAATTAAATATGCAAGAGAAATAAATATATTGTTTTATTAATATGATTGAAAATCGATAGAATCGAAGATTTTATAAACAATTTTTTATTTTGCCCTTTATTTATTACCAAAAAAAATTAAAGAGTTTCGATTCTTTTACTTCGAAACTCACCTATATATCCAAACGTCCAAGAACCGAAAGAAATCTACAAAAAAAATATAAAAAAAAAAAAAAAAAAATATTTCTTTTAATAATAAAAGCGAGCATAATAGTTACACTTTTTTAGGAAATTTTTGTCAAAATCTATATTCAACTGTGTGAATCGATGTAATAAATTTTCCTTAAGGAAGCCTTTAAAACGCTTTCATTGATTTAGTTTCCATCAGTAAAGATGTAATATATAATAAACCCACACTAACGGCTATATTAATTTAATAATTTTAAATTTTGCATTTTTTAATTTCAATTTCGTTCCTTTTAGCTGAAATGGTTAATTTCTTTCCCAGTATTAAAGTATCCGATCCTTTATATACTTACTCAGTTACTCTCACTAATAATTCTTTTGCTAATACATCCAATGGCTTGTCATCAATCATATAGTGGTATACAACTTTCATCAACCATTTTACTGACATATCCTGACACTAAATGTGGATTTTATAAACTGGTTTTTATTGATATATAAGAAAAATTTTTTTATACATACTCTAAATATAAACCAATTAATAACCTAAAAAATAATAAAATAAAAAAGTGTATTAATTTTCTTCCCATATAAATTTTTCATTTTGAATATCAGTTATAATACTAGTCAACTGAATAATAAAATAATATAGGAAGTAAAAACGTTATAAAACTAATTATTATTATTTTTTTATAAAAAAAAGAGAGAGAGAGAAAGGATGTGAACATTGCCTTTGGACTATACATAGGAAATTGGGAGAAAACACAATTGTTAATTGTAATCAAACTTGGAGGATTAAATTAGTAATTGCAGTCTAAACATTCATCTTTATTGTAAAAGGATTTGGTGATCGGGATATATAAATAGCTTGTGGATGGGTTGTTGATTGGTTTTCAATAGGGGTATTACGAAAGCCCACCAATGGTAATAGTCACATTATGATGTACTTTTGGTCAGAATTAAAAATATAATAAATTACTGGCCGATATTTAGTAATTTAGAAATATAAATTATAGTTCAACAGAAGCGACTGCAATATAAAAAAATAGTGGTCCATTTAAAATTTAAATGCTTAATTAAATAATTACAAAATGAGTAAAATGAGAACACATAGTGCACATGAAATTCCTTAAATTTGACCGTGTCAAGTTATGCGTAAAGGTAAAATTATTTTGCGACGCATCAATAATTATTGATATACATTACTTGGACAAAAATAGTGGACCCTCTATTTTGTTAATTACTTAAAAATTACATATAATAACAATGCTTAAAATTTTGATATGTAATGATATAGACTCTAAAGAATATTATAGAATCAAATTTCACGCTTCTAACCTTCGCACAGCTGTACTTAGTATATAAATATTATATTTTTATCTTTCAAATTAATAATTAGTATCTAAGAAAATAAAAACCATTCAAAAATTTTCATTTTCTTTAATTTGACGATTATCGAGAATTTTATATTTTTTAATATTTATTCTTCAGAACCTGTGGCTTTAAAAATTAAATTTTAATGTATATGTTGTGCCTCAGATCGATTCTTGCCTCAGATTGAAGCTCACGCACCTCAGATTGAGATTGTCATCTGACGCACCTTAATTGCTAATAAAAATGAGCTATAATTAAACATCAAAATTTCCAATTTTAATGTATTTTTAAGTACTAAGTAAACTTATTTATCATTATTTTAAGTATACAATCCTATAATTTCAGATTAATTGGAATCATACTTATTAAATTTTTTCATTTGAAAAATGACTTAAAATTTAATGATTTTTTAGATAAAACACAAATATAAACTTCAATATAAATCGGATTTACATAAAAATTTCAGGAAACATGTAACTCATTATGGTGCACAAGTTTGTTTATGTTACAAAAAGTGGTTTAATTAATGAGAAAAAAAGTTTACTTATAACAGACTTTATTGAATGATTCAAATGAGGTGCGTCAGGTGACAATCTCAATGTGAGGTGAATCTGAGGCAAGAATCGATCTGAGGCACAACATATATACATTAATCAAGTCTCTGTACTATTACATATTAAATATTATTATTTATCTCATGTTTAATTTTTCTGATGATATTTTTCATGCTTATGTGTTTTTATAGTTTATTTATACCTTTCCCACTCTTTCCCATCACTGGACGTTAGTCTCCATGAGATAAAAGAGTTATTTCACGTGTCGCATAAATATCATGATTTTCACGGCTGCGCCGTGAAAATCGTTGATATTCATGACTCCCCGTGAAATAACTATATTACATAATTAATAAAAGGGGTTCTGTACAACAAAAAAATATATAAAAAGACCACAAAATTTTGCGAAATACTTCGGGTCTTACAAAATAATTAATTACACAAAATCCCTAGGATCGACTAGTCATGAGACTTTTTCGGGTCATAATTTTTCCGTTTCGTATTATTAAGCATAAATTAATTTCTTTTTTCTTCAAATTAAAAAAAACTTTGAAATAATATGATATCATTTCAAGGAATAAACAATACAAAATGGAAAATTCAGAAGAGAATTTTATAAATTTGACTGGTAGAAACGAAAAAATTGAAGAGCTTATTATTGAAATTCGATTAAAAGCCGATGCATCATTTGAACGGATACCATATGATCAGTTTAGTAATATTGAAAAAATTAATAATAGTGATGATATTGCAGTAACAACATGGAAGAATGTCCCACATCGTCTTCGGGGAAACACAAGTACGAAAGTTGTTAATTTAAAATATTTATATAACTCACAAGATATCACTCCCTATGAGGTACGAAAATTTTATGTTATTTTAGTTTTAAAAAATATACATATATGCTTTTTTTTTAATACTATAATATAACTGATAATAATTTAATTATTTAAATAGGTTAGACAATACTTAATTAGTTATAAAGACTATGGTCTAAAAATATATGGAATATCTCAAAATCCTGATACGAAAGATTATATTTTAGTTATTGAAGATGGATATTGTAAACATTGTGGGGAAAAATATAAAATTACATACTTTAAATGGTGCAAACCATGCCAAATAAAAAATTTAAAGGAAAATTTTAAAAATTGGACTAGTGGAAATGAAAAAATTGATGAATTTATTCAAGAAATGCAATTAAAAATAAATAGTCCATATGATATAGTATTTGAATGGATATCATATGATCAATTTAGTAATATTGAAGAAATAGGCAATACATTATATGCAGCATTATGGAATAATGGTCCATTGGAATATGATATGAATGAAAAAGAATGGACAAGAATACAAGATAGAAAGGTTACTTTGAAACAATATAACTCACAAAATACAATTGATGACTTTCTTAATAAGGTATGAAAGTTTAAGCATATTTATATTTTTTTTAGAAATCAAAGCCTCGTCACTTAGTTTTCTATCATTTCGAATAAAATAGGTTAAAGTATATGAAAGTTATATGATCTATGGAATATCTCAAAATCCAGATACAAAAGACTATTTAATAGTTCTTGGAGAATATAATGCAATGCATGATGAATATTGTAACAAATGTCTTGAAAAGTATACAGAACATAAATGGTGTAGACTATGTCTAATAAAAAATCTAAAGGAAAATTTTAGAAATTGGGCTAGTGGTAATGAAACAATTGATGAATTAATTCAAGAAATGCAATTAAAAATCGATAGCTCAGAAAATACAATATTTGAATGGATACCATATAATCAACTAAGTAACGTTAAAAATATCGGAATTAATTATCCAATAGGAACATGGAAGAATGGACCATTATATTATAATTTAAGTGAAATGAAATATACGAGAAATTCGGATAGAATAGTTTCTTTAAAATATTTGTACGATTCACATGAAGTTCAAAAAAATAGGGTATGAAATTTCTCTACAAATTTGATTTTTTTTAAAATGCTTTTCTTAATGTAATAATATTTTTTTATTTTAATAGATAAAGCATTACTTAAATTCACTTAATGAAGAGTCTAAGATATATGGGTTTTCTCAAAATCCCGACACAGGTCATTATATATTGGTTATTCAAGATATAAAGTATTGTGAAGAATGTGGTGAAGAATATACGGATATGATTTTTAGGTGGTGTAAACCATGTCAAATAAAGCATTTAAAGGAAAATTTTAAGAATCCCAGTGAAAATAATGAAGTTAATAAATTCATTCAAGAAAAGCAATTAGAAATTAATGATAAAGATAATATAATTTTTGAACGGATACCATACTTTCGGTTTAGTCATTTTAAAGAAATAAATAGTAATAGTTTAATATATTCAGCAGAATGGACAAATGGACCGTTGTGTTGGAATAAAAACATATATAAGAGAGATACTGATAGATTGGATAGGACGGTTAATTTAAAACTTTTACGTAACTCTCAAAATATTACCAATGAATTTCTAAATAACGAGGTACGAAATTTCTTTATAAATAATTTTTAATTTTTAAATATTTTCTTAGTAAACAACAATTTTTTAGGTTAAACAGTATACACTGTCATTTAAAGAAAACAAGAAGTTACTTAAAGCATATGGAATATCTCAAAATTCTGACACAAAAGATTTTTTTTTAGTTCTTCAAAATGGATATTGTGAAGAATGTGGAGAAAAGTACACAGAGATAGAATATAAATGGTGTAAACCATGCCAAATAAATTATTTGGAAAAAATATTCGCAAATATGACCAGTGAAAATGAGGAAATTGATAATTTTATTAAAGATATGCAATTAAAAATCAATAACTCAAAAGATATAGTATTTGAATGGATACCTTACAATCAATTTAATGATATAAAAAATATAGGAAATAAAGTTTATTCAGCGTTATGGGAAGATGGTCCATTAATATATGATTTAAATAAAAAGAAATGGGCGAAAGAACAGGCTAAGGAGATTACTTTGAAGTATGTATGCAACTCACAAAATGTGGTTGATGAATTTTTGAACAAGGTATGAGGAGTTTTAGTTTAATTTCAATACTATCTTATAGTGTTAATTTGTTAATATTTCATAATAGGTTAAAGTATATGATGAAATTTTTAAATTGTATGGAATATCTCAAGAACCTATTACAAAAGATTATATTATGGTTCTTCAAAAGAAATATGATGAAAACTATTGTGAAAAATGTATTGAAAAGTATACAGATATCAAGTATAAATGGTGTAAACCATGCCAAATGGATCGTTTGAAAAAAGTATTCACTTATTGGACCAGTGGGAATGAAAAAATTGATAATTTTATTCAAGAAATGCAATTAAAAATCAATAACCCAGAAGATACAATATTTGAATGGATATCATACGATCAATTTAATGATATTAAAGAAATAGATGAAACTGTATATTCAGCATTATGGAAAGATGGCCCATTAAAATTTGATTCGAACAAAAAGAAATGGGTAAAAGTGCAAGCTAAAGAAGTTATTTTGAAACTATATAACTCACAATATATGAATAATGATTTTCTGGATAAGGTATGATTGATTATACGAAATTTCCAATTTCTACAAATCTAATATAAATATTATTTCTTGATGTAATTAAATTTTTAGGCGAAGATATACAATAATATTTTCAAAATATATGGAATAACCCAAAATCCAGATTCAAAAGATTATGTTATGGTTCTTGAGAATTATCATAAAAGATATGTTAAAAGTTATTGTGAGACATGTATTGAAGAATATACAGATACAATTTTTAGATGGTGTAAACCATGTCAGATAGACTATTTAAGAAAAAATTTTACAAACTGGAGTGGAAATGAAAAAATTGATGAATTTATTAAAGAGATGCAACTAAAAGTTAATAATCCAAATGATATGGTATTTGAATGGATACCATATAATCAATTTAAGATTATTAAAATAATAGGTAAAGGTGGATTTGCTATAGTGTATTTAGCAAAATGGAAAAATGGTCCATTGCATTATGATAATGAATGGAAGAGAAGACCATGTAAAAAAGTTGCTTTAAAGTATTTATATAAATCACGAAATAAGATTAATGAATTTATAAATGAGGTGTGTGATTCATGAAAATTTATAACAATTATAATTACTAATTAATATACATTCTTTAATATATTAACAAACTATTATACTTAACAGATTAGGGCATATTCGATGAATAAGTGTGGTAGTAATATTATTAAAATATATGGAATATCTCGAGATCCAAAAACAAAAAATTATATAATAGTTCTTCAATATGCAGAAGGTGGAAATTTTAATGATTGGATAAATAAATGTTATAAAGATTTTGATTGGAACAATAAATTACGAACATTATATAATATTATTTTTGGTTTAAATGAAATTCATCAAAAAGAGATGGTTCATCGTGATTTTCACACAGGAAATATATTATTTGAATTTGGTTATGTTAATCAATATAATGATACATATATTTCAGATATGGGATTATGTGGAGAAATTGGCAATGTAGATAAATCCAAAATTTACGGGGTTATGTCTTATGTAGCTCCAGAAGTATTAAGAGGAAAACCCTACACTAAAGCAGCAGATATATATAGCTTTGGTATGATCATGTATTTTGTAGCAACTGGAAGACAACCTTTTTCTGATCGTGCGCATGATGAATTTTTGGCGTTGGATATATGTGATGGAATTAGTCCTAAAATCAAAGAATTAGAAGCACCAAAATGTTATGTTGAATTAATGAAAAGGTGTTGGGATTTGGATCCAAACAATAGACCAAATGCTATTGAAATAGAAAGTATTGTTCATTCATATAACTTTAGTTTAAATGGTGAAATTAAAGAGCAATTTAAAGAAGCAGAAGAATACAGGAAAGAAAATATTTTATCTATCGGAATTAACCGATCATCAACACATCCACAAGCTATTAATATATCTCGATTATTAAACCCTTTTACAAAGGACCTTCCAAAATGCGATAAGAATGATGATCATTCTGAATGCTTAGACTGCGCAATTACCAAGTTATAGATTATATTTATTTAAATTTATCCACATTCCCTTCTAATTTAGTATCTAGGCATTATTCAAATTATATAGTAGGAAGAAACAATTTTATTATTTTAATTGTATTTTATTATTTTTTTAGGATATTATATGGTTTTTGATTATAAAGTATATGTAATAAAATTTTTTTTTTATAAATAAAAATCAGTTTGCAATTGAGCAAATCATTATATTCGGTAATATGTCGTGTTTGTTACGCAACGGAAAATGGTTTATGGTATTATTGGGAAAATGTTCGTTTATTGTATCAAAACAATTATATAGTGGTAAATTATTGGATGCTATTAGTAAGAGGATTATTTATAAAGTATATAAAGGATCAGATACTCTTAATACTGAGAAAAGAGTCAAAAGACAATAACCATTCTAAGTAGTTATTAACAATATAGTGGATGTCATAATAGAGCTTTTCTATCAAAGGGAATGAATTGAAATTTATAGAAAAATATGAAGAAAAGTTTAAAAGTTATTAACCACCTGTGAATCCAAGAAATTATATGAAATGAATAGTGCTATAAATCATCTCATACATATGCGTAATATTATCATCACGGAGGATGTCCGTTTAAAAAGATGGATAAAAATTCCATCAATATTGGGTAAAAGTTTCAGAATAAAAAGCCTATTATTATTAGCTGAATAAGGCATATTAAAAAGGTTCAGAATTATGATATAAATCAGTCAGATAGAGACTAAATCAATGGGAAGAGATAAAAATAAAAAAAATCTGTATTAAATGTTTAAAAATCCTCTTCACGCACACACGCCTAGCAAAAAACTTATAATAATAATAAATGTTTAGAAATAATTATTGACAAATGTGAAAATTCAATAATTTTAGATAATAATTGCAATTAATTGCCAACAATAAATTGACTACTAGTGAATTTTTAATCGGAATTTTTTTTTTTTTACAAATATTTATTTTTTTTTTCGATCTTTTTCTTCCCCCTTTTTTTTTAATTTTCATTTTTTTTTTCTTGAACCGATCTTTTACAAATGCTATGGTTCTTTCTTTTTTTCAAATTTCCTCTTTTCTCTTTCGAAACACCTTTTTTCTTTTACTTAAAAATTTTTCGTTTTTTTTCCTCTTTCTTTTTTTTTTTTTTTTTTTTTTTTTTTTTTTTTTTTTTTTTTTTTTTTTTTTTTTTTTTTTTTTTTTTTTTTTTTTTTTTTTTTTACTGAATTATTGTCAGAATTTTTTCGGTACTTATTTTTTTTTTTTTCTTTCTTTATCCTTTTTCTTTTCCCCAAATTTTTTTTTCCCGAATACATTCTTTCACCATTTAGGTTTGGATCGGTGATCAGATCAATGTTGCGGTACACAACAATTGCCCTTTTTCCCAATTCTTATTAATAATAATAATATTTTTTTGTATCAAACTCAATAATAGACTAACATAATTACTTATTTATTTATTCTTTTAACAATAGATCGTTATAATTAATTTTTCTGGGGAATTTTTTCTTTTTCTAGAGGATGTAATTTTTTTTAAAGCTATAATGAAATTTTTTAAGATAAAAAAAAAAGATTTTTTTGTAACAATGTAACAATAAACTACTTATACAAAATTATCTTTGTAAATGTATAAATAAATCATAAATTTAACAGTACTGCAATATTTGTTTCGTGTTAAATAAAATTTGCATTTAATAATAATATTTCATATACTGTATAACACTTGCACACAATTCATTGTATCATATAAATTGTGGAATTTATTACATTTATTTCCTACTAATGCCATTATAAATAGTAAAAAATTAGACCTATTCACACTACATGACAAATAAAATATAAGTGTGTTATTATTATTCTCTTACTTGATGCGCAAGTATCATCCCTGGCGCAACGCGACGGGTTACGCCTAGTATATATTTAATAAAAAATAAATGAAATAATAATCTAATGGAAGTTTATTTATAGCTTCCATCAAAGACTTCTAGATATATTATACAATTACAATGTTATAAATATAACCATTGTATTGTTTTTTTCTAGTCATACAATATAATAAGGATATAAATATAAATATATATGAAGTCAAAAAATTTAGATCATTCAAGAATATTTCGTTATTTTGTATTTTGTATAATGATCTAACTGTATACATTTTCTTTTAATGAAAAATAAGTAAATCACTTTAAAGTATAGAAATTTAAATTTAAAATGCTATTGAAATAAATAAATATATTGTTTTAATCATTTCATCTTTCTCGGCATTCGTGACCTCATCTTTCGGTAAATTATTTAGCCAGTTGTTATGACCCAAATCCCGGTGAAAATACTCTACCCTTAAGTTTCAGCAGCGGATTCAATGCGATTGTAAATCTACTAAGAATTTTGAAATGAAGAAGAAAAATGTCAAAACAAAGAGTAATTTTATATTGTTCTTATAATGAATTAATATTTAATTGTATACATTTTAAAAAATTCAAAAGATTTTAATCCAATTCTTTTGATTTTCAAATTAATTTAATGTTTGATTTAATTTTACCTGTCTCTTATACACATCTAGATGTGTATAAGAGACAGATTTTATATTGTTCTTATAATGAATTAATATTTAATTGTATACATTTTAAAAAATTCAAAAGATTTTAATCCAATTCTTTTGATTTTCAAATTAATTTAATGTTTGATTTAATTTTACTATAACAGCAATCTTTTTTTTTAAAAAAAAAAGATTAATAAAATTTTCACATATTATAAGAAATTTTTCATATTGATATTTTTCCTGCAAAATGTAAGGGGAATAAGGAACAATTTGAAATTGAAGACAGAAATAAAAAATTTAGTTAGTTTGTAAATATTATTTAAATATTAACTGTTAAATATGCAATAATAAAATTAAACAAATAATTTACGAATTTTTTAAATAAAGAATTTAATATTATATAAATTTGTAATAATAAAGTTAAATAAATAACTTACCCTATATTATTAAAATAATTTTTTAAATTAAGAATTTAATTAATAATTAGTTTAATTATATATGTGTACGTAAATATTATATAAATATAGAGTTAAATTTATGGTACTTTTGTTACACAAAGTATTACATAAGGCACAAATACTTCTTTTAAACTAAAATATTCAAATTTAGCGGATATGCTTATGAGCTACTGTATGTTATTAAATAATTTGAATTTAGTTAGTTTAAATTATATGTAAAAATATATAAATATGTAATTATAACGGGCGGAATAAATAACCAATAAAAGGCTGGCAGAGGCTATGATTATCGCGAGGACTTCGACGATAGAGTTAAACGTCGGCACTGGACTGCTTTTATGGTTTCTAGAGTGTGATGTTTATAGGCTTGGTACTTCGTTTTTCAAGTAAATAATTCCTGAACTTTCGCTGTAAGCCGCAGGTGACGCAACTAACTCTCGTTTTGGAGAAATGATAAAAATTGTTAATTTATCTGATGGATTTCGGGATCGGCAGCGGTCACGGGAACAATTTGAATATTTTGCGTCCATCGCAGCTTTTATCTAAAACTATTGGAAAATTGTAAGATTAATCTATGATAAGGCACATTATTTATAAAAAGTAGTTAAATATAAATGTTTTGATCGGGTATTTATCTTGCTTTTATATCAGCAAATTTACCATTACATTTTTTACAATGTTACAAATCATATCAAATTTTCAATAAAATTTTTTATTCTCAATTTTAATAAATTCAAGAACTTTGTGACTATTTAAAGATATCGTTCTATTATCTAATATTTTTCACAAAAAAAA